GGGGGGGGGGGAAGAAAGCTCTTGTCCAAGACAGGGACAAGAGTGGCCCCCAAGTGGGTGGTCCCCAGGAAGCTGTCTCTTCCAGGGACTCATTTTAGAGTAAAACCATGTGGTGAGGTGGGCCTAAGGTGATAGAGAACATGGGAACTCGCTTAGATGGGCATAAGGTGGGACAAAACTATGGTCAACCAACGAGATTACAAGCACCATTGCTCAGGTAAAATGGATTAAGTCCAGGACCAAATGGGGAAGCGAGTCACATAGCAAGCAAGCATGAACGTAGAACAGGACTTTATCAAGTAGCCATCCAGTAGTAGTTGGATTAATAATTCTTCTGGTTCCCTCAGGGTAATGATCAATCTCAGATGCCAGTCTTTAGGGAGGTCGGCATTTGTTTGATCTTTTGTCTTTAGGTCTAGCCCAAGGTGGGAGCATGCATCCTTCTCACAGTTGCCAGATATTTTGTCTTTCTGTGTTCTTTCCTTTGAGGGCCTGGCCCTGTCTACTGCCTATAATATTTCTATCTAACTCGGCTGCCTGCAACAGTAGGTTGAGACAGAGCTGAGAAGTAAGCATTGCAGCGGGAGCATTTGTGCATGCAATCGCTGATCAAAAAAACAGGAAGAAGGGCTGGGGAGACAGCTCAGCAGCATAAGCGCCTGCTGGCAAGCGCAAGGTCCTTAGTTTGATTCCCAGTAGAAGTAAATAAATAAAGTGAATATCCAACCATTGTTACAGTAAAAGACACATTGTCATGAATCCCCCTCAAAATATACACCGTCATTTTTAACACATTTGCCTCTTTGTTCTTGTCACTTTCTAAAGCATTCCTGGAAGAGTCTTTTGTGCTGTCTTGGCTGCCTTGAAGTCCTGAACTGATTCATAACATTTACCTTATTCACCGCCACTTCAAACGGTGCTTCTCTAAGTAAGAGAGATGAGGACATACTGTAATGTTTTCACAAGGCTGCCTTTCTGGTGGAAGGCATTTAGCAGCGGCAGTCATGGTATTTTTGCCTTTTATTTTCTTTTTGAGACAGAGTCTCTTTGTAATTCTGGCTGCTCTTAAAGTCTTAGAATCCCGCTTCAGTGTGCCAAGTACTGGGATTATAGGTGTGTGCTAGGACAGAGGACTTCCAGAACTGCTTCAGAAAAGGGCAAGAATGATGGCATAAGTGGATTCAAAGAGAGGGAGAGGTTTTTGGGGAGGAGGGCGTCATGGCAATGTGTCTTTTCTGAATAAAAAAGTTAAGCATTCACCACATAATCAGTCAGACCTTGTATGTTTGAACCTTTCTGAGACCCCTAGTGTGGAAACCAGCAGAGGGGATATGTGGAAAAAGACCGAGTCATATGATTTGCTATAGAAAGTTTAATTAATATATGGATTGCAGTCTGGAGGTGTTTGTGATGTGGGCAGGTAAAGTGATTTCCAGCTCATAAGAAGATGTGAATGCCTGGAATGTGCTCACTGGGCAGTGTGTGTGTGGTGGGTATGGAATGCTTAAGGGGATGTTTGCATAAAAAATTGTTTTTTTTTTAGCATTTTAAAAAATTTATTTATTTATTTGTGTGTGTGTGTGTGTGTGTGTGTGTGGCCAGCTCAGCCCACCAGGGGGCGGGGCTGGCTGGCATGTGGTGCTGGGGGGATTGAACCGTGGTCCTGTGCTTTGCTAAGCTTGTTCTAAGTAGGTGCTCTAGACCACTGAACCATCTCACCAGCCCCATAAAAAAATTCTTAAAGAAAAAAATTTCTCTGAAGTTTTCTGATAGAGAGGAAGACATACAAGAGACACTCACCCTGTGAATTCAATTCACCTGAGAGAGGGGCTGTCCTTCTAGCTTGGGGGTGTTAGGATGAAGTTGGACAAATACATGAATAGGCTTGAGAAGCTTAGCCTCTGGTGCATTATCTGTATGATGACTGTAGGTAAGTGTGTGTGTGTGTGTGTGTGTGTGTGTGTGTGTGTATGTGTGTGTAGTGCTGGGCATCAAGCCCAGGGCCTTGTGCATGTAAGGTAAGAGTGCCACCACTGAGCCACATCCACAGCCCAAATCTTGTGTGTTATATGGAGGATTACTATTGTCTTAGTTACTCTTCTCTGGTTGCTGGGACAAATACCCGACACTCAAAATTAGGGAAGGAAATGTTTATGGAGCTCACAGTTATTGGAGGTTCAGTCCATACTCAGTTGGCTCCAAGGCAGAGCGGCACAGGGCACAGGGCATCCATTCATGGTGGCAGCAAAGAGCAAGAGAACACAAGCAAATGGGAGTAATGGTGGCAACAGTGGCTACAGAGAGCAAGTCCGTCTCCCTTATGCTGCATTCAGGCTATCTGCCCCATGTAGTAGCACTCACACCTATAATCCAGTAGCACTCATAACTATAATCCCAGCAACACTCACACTCATAATCCCTGCACTGGATCATGAATTAATCACAAACTCTAGGAGCTGACCCATGACTGCATGAGGCTTTAGGGGGACAACTGGACACAAACCATAGCCTGGACACAAACCATAGCAACTATAAAGTTTTGGAAGGCATTTGACAACATTCAGCAAAATACACATAAATATTCCTACTGTTTAACTTCATAATTGTATTTATAGGACTCTATCCTAAAATAATACTAAATGAGGAAAAGCTTTGTGTATAAAGACAGTATTGCAGTAATACTTTTTAAAATTTTACTTTTATTAGTACATGTTTGTAGTATGTGACAATTCCAACCACCGTGGGGAGGTGTGTGCGTACCTAACACAACTCCAGTTCTTTTCACTTCTTTCTTCTCCCCTCCCTGCAGTCTTGCCTTCAAAAGAGAATAACATGAAAATAATCTGGTAATTGGGAAACAAAGTTACGCTGTATATTCTATCTGGAGTAATATGCTGTCATTAAATGTTTAAGGACAATATAATACAAGTACACTAAGTGTTTGAAAGACACAGAATTAAACATAGAGAATGGTTATAAATTATAGGAAAGAGGGGCCACAAAGGAAAACTTTGTTAAGTGTTTTCCAGGGATTGGCAAAGTACTTTCTATTTTTCCTGTTTCCTGTAATTACTTCATTGCTCTAGGAATGGGAGGAAAAAGTGAATAAAACACAATCCTAGCAGGGTGTGGTGGTGATGCCTGTAATCCCAGTTCTCTAATCGTCTGAGGCAGGAAGATCACAAATCAGAGACTTAATACTGTCTCCAAATTATAAATAAATAAATAAATAAATAAATAAATAAATAAAAGGACCGGCCAGATGGCTCAGCAGATTAAAGCTTCTGCTCTGGCAGAGCACAGCAGCTCGGATTTGATTCCTGCCATGCCGGCCCCGCCCCCGGGGCGCGCTGAGATGGCGATGGAGACTGGGTTTGGTGGCTCAAGCCTGTAATCTCAGCACTTGGGAGGCTGAACACAGGGGGCTCACTACGAGTCGGATCTACGTAGTGAGACCTCGTACTGAATACATAAAAAAGAAGAAATGGAAATAAACTGAAAGGGTCTGGCGTGGCGCTCATTGGGAGGGAACTGCATTCAAGCCCCCGTCCCAAAACAAAACAGAAATCACACACAAATCGTATTCTCGTAAAATGTAAATGGTATTACATTTTAGTAGACGCAGACAAAACGGCCTATCAGATGATTAGCGTTCAGCAAAAATGTAAGACAAAATTTTTTTTAAAAAAGCATAAAACACTTTAACCAGGAGGGCTAGGAGTATTCCCGCAGAACCCCACAGCCGGGCGGGGTGCGCAAATTCAGGTGGGGCGCGCCTCGCCAAGGTGAAGTGGGTCACGTGACTCGAGGGGCGGGAGGAGGAGAGCGGAGTCTGGCTGGGCACCTTCTCGACAGTCAGGCGGGCGGAGCCGATAACCTAACAAACGTCCCCGGAGCGCTTGGGGGCGGGGCGTCCGGGGCGCGGTTTGAAGATCCGGGAGCGGAGGCCTTCCGCCCAGTTGGCTTTTCGGTTGGGCGGTTGCGGTGGCCGCTTGGCGTGCGGTCGGGCTGAGACGCGCGGTGCAATGGCGACCTTTGTGAGCGAGCTGGAGGCGGCCAAGAAGAACCTGAGCGAAGCCCTGGGGGACAACGTGAAGCAGTAAGGGCAGTGGGGACGCAGCTTCAGCCCAGCGCGGGGGCGCTCTCGGGGCCTCGGGAGATCACTCCACCTGGAGATGGTTCCCCACCCGGGCCTGGGCAGCCTGGCATCCTCCTGGGCGCCCGAGTTCCGGGCGGAGCCGGGGGCACCGCGCTCCTGGGCCCGGGAGCTGCGGGACAGCTCAGCGCCCGGGCCGCCCGAGCGGGTTTCCTGGAGGAGACGCGGGGAGCCCGGGCGACCCGGATCCCCCGTGCCCCGACTGTTACTTGGAGGCTGTAACGGTGGCGGGCGGTACACGCCATCCCGGGCCCCAGGTGTGTGCTGGCCGCCCGGGAGTCCGGGGCGGAGGAGGCGGGACCCGGCGCGCAGCGGGCTGGGGCCTGGCTGGGGCCACCGCGGCGGGACCCTTCCACTTACAAGGGCAGGGGCGTTTCTGACACTTTCTTGTCAAGAGTTTTTATTTTTCAAAAGTGTGGAAAGCAGCTGGGCGTGGTGGTGCACGCCTATCATCCCAGCTCGCAGAAACTGAGGCCGGAGGATCACCGGAGCTGGAGGCCATCCTGGGCTACAGAAGGAGTTTTCAAAACCTGATGAAGTACACAGGGAAATCCTGTCTCAAGCCCCCACCCCCGATCTAGGAAGCACTTTTTAAATTTTAAAATTATAGCGCCCTGTGTGGTTGCTGCTGGGAGACTTCTGTGATGTCTTCTCCATTCAGTACTCAGATGATGTCCAGGGATAGTAGATGGACAGGGAATTTAGGAATACTTTTTCTCCAACCCTTTCTTCTTTTCTGCCATCTCTTCATTGTGACTGGATTGAAGTTACTTAGCCTGGGGTGTCACAAGTGATTTTGAGAGTCTTTTCATTCATGTGAGATTTTGGGCTTTCAGTTAAGTCCTTTTCATCCTAGTAAAAGACAGTAAATCAGACAAAGACAGATTAAAATCTAATCTGTTTAGCAGCAGAAACATAAGGTGACTTCCAAAGATATAGTGGCCCACTTGAAGTTACATTTTAACATTTATGTTTACTATCAGTCTATTCTTTGCTCATTTATTAAACGTTCTAATTTTAAAAGATATATATGACAGCTTTCACACTTGGCTAGATCCTGTTTTGTACTATGCTTTCACTCTCCCATCTACAATGCTTAGGAATATTTAAAAGTGAACGATTTCGTAGCATAGTGAATTTGTGCATGGCTTGTGTGTTTGATTGACTTGAGCTCTGGTAGATACAATGTGCCTTCTGTGATCTGCTATTGTCACACAGAGAGTTCAAGGCTGCCAGGTGGGCTTTTGAAGTTACTGTTCCTTACTATTTTTCTAAAGGCCCCGCTGACTAATGTTGGTCAATGTGAGTGGATGTGGGTGGATCAGCAGCACCAATCCCTTGTAAAAATGTAACCAGTGGTGCCTTTGCTAGGAAAGGCTAGTGGTGCAGCCTTGTATTGTTCTCCATCTGGTGTTCCATTCTTTCATTGACCTGCTTCCCGGTCTGTCTGTCCCCTGACAAGTGCCTTGTGGCTAGGCACTCTGTAGTAGTGCTGTGCACTCATTTCTCCATAAGCAGTGAGTTTGCGTTGTTTTGTACAACTTGCTGTTTAAGTGTGGTCCTCAGTAGTGCCAGGTAAAACACATGCAAGGTTGACTGACTGTGGTTTTGGTATAGTGAAAGGGAAGCAGGCGTTGGTCTGTCTTATGCAGTGAATTAATGTGGGGACTGGGACTGGAGAGAAAGCCTTCAACTCTTGGTAGCAGTTGGTCCATTTGGGTTAGCAAGTTTGTCTTGGGAAGACCAATAACATTCAGCCTTGACTTAGTTCTGAAACAAGTTCACTTATGCTAAAGGGGGTTCTGTCTCCTGTGAAACAGTGGCAGAGGGATTTTAAATAGTGAAGGTATTCAGTTATGATCTTTTGTTGAATGATTTATTTGGTACAGGGTCTTGCTACTCAGTTCAGGCTTGTAGTGATCCTCCTGTCTCATTCAGCCTCCCCAGTGCTGGGATTACAGGTGTGTTCCACCATGCCAGCTTTTGGGATGAGCACTGTGCACCCTGGATTCCCAGCTGACACAGCATGGGGTACTGGGAATCAGACTGGGACCTAGAGCTTGCCAGGCAGGTGCTTAGACCACGAGCTATCTCCCCAAAGCTGATCTTTTGTTGAATGCAGTGGAATAAACAAAAAGACCGTTTGTTTTCTGTGGAGATTTATTTTACTCCTGTCATGGTTGTTCCTGTGTTTGTTTTCTCTTAAAAAGGATAAGAAGCAGCCCAGCCAGTCTGAGGTCGAGGCAGGAGCATTGCTTAGGTCCAGGCATTCAAGGCCGGACTGGGCAATAGGAGCAAGACCCCCCACCTCCCAAAATTAGTACAAATGGGTCTACTGTTTGGAAATTGCTGGTGACCTATGGACGTAGGCGTGAGTAGTGGATGAAAGGCTGTTGAGCTCTACAGGTAAATGTGTTTTGCTGTTGAGTGAAACAGCAGTGTCTTAGGCCTCGTGCCACTTTCTCTGTAGAAGCTGTGGGTTTTAACATGCACAGAGACGCCACACTTTGCATTCGTAAGTACTTACAGAGTTACATACTAATGTAATTGGAATCTCACACATATGTGGGAGAAACCCTCCTATGGGTGTATGTGGCAGCGTTCAACCATCTCCTTTGGGAACTTTTAAAATTTTCTTCCATTAGAAAGGAGCGTTGGAATGCAAGATGAGCTTCAGCTGAAAGCAGTAAAATTTAAAGTCACTTTTTATCCTGTTCTCAGGCCTGCCTTAAACAGGATGTGAAAGATACATTTTATTCTTGTTTCTTACAACGTTGCTAAGGTACAAAAGGTTATTATTGTTATTATTTTCTACCAGTTATTTGGTCATTTTTTTAAAAAAAAATGTATTTAGTACAGGGTCTCAAGGGCGTCATACGTTTATCAGACTCGATCAGACTCATAGCGATCCTCCTCTTTTCAGCCTTCCAGTGCTGGGATTACAGGCGGGCACCACCACGCCCAAGTCTCAGTGCACCCTGGGGGTGGGACCTGCAGGACATGGGGGGGATCACACCCTGGCCCCTGCTGTCTGCCTAAGCGGGCGCTTTAATCCACCTTTAATTTGCTAAGCTATCTGGCCAGCCCTGGTCATTTTAATTTTTAACTGCAGGTTTTCATTTTTAAAACGCGTAAAATTCTCGTACCTCTGCGCCTTGTTTGTGGTAAGAAGTTTAGAAACCCATTTCTTGAGGCAGTTAGATTAAAACTTGAGTTCATCGAAAGGGAAAGACATCGTCCAGAGTTAAGTACAGTGACCACCCTCCGTTCCCATAGAACACATCTATATGTTACCGTGTGGCTCTAGTGTGGGGTTCTGGAGGGTAAGCAGGCTTTCAGAAAGGCCTCGCTGAGAAGACAGGATGTTGCTGTGCATCTTAGCTGAGTGGCTCAGAAGCCCAATTCTGCAATGATCTGTCCCCTTTTAGGGAGAACTTTCTGTTTTTGTGCTAGTATTCTGATTCCTAAGTGTTTTAGCTTAGGAATCAGAATACCAGCACTGGGCAATTTAACACCAGAAATTTGTTTGGTGCAGTTTAGGAGGTTGGAGGTCCAAGATCAAGGTGTTAGAGGATTTGATTTCTTTTGTGGCCTTTTCTACAGATGTCACCTTGCTTGTATGTTAAAGTGGTTGCCTGTCTGCATGTGTCAGGAGTCTCTCTGTGGCCTGATAGCATATCAGTACATCTACATGAGTGACCTCATTTTATTTTTTGGGGGGTAATGGGGACTTGAACTCAAGACCTTATGCTTACTAGGCAGTTGCCGCACCACTAAGCTAAATCCCTAACCCAGTGACCCCATTTTAATTTTTTTTTTACCTGTTAAAAGGTCCTGTTTCTAAATTTAATTACATTCTTTGGGGTTGGGGTTAGTTACAACTTCTGTGCATAAATTTAGGAGGAGACATACATAATTCAGCCAGTGATTCTCAAGAATGTCAAATTTCCTTCCCTGGGAGTTGAGGCAGGGGAAGTGAACTTAGAGAAAAGCAAGACCTGGGTTTAATATTGTGTTTCTGCTCCTGCAGGTACTGGGCTAATTTAAAGTTGTGGTTCAAACAGAAGATCAGCAAGGAAGAGTTTGACTTGGAAGCTCATAGACTTCTCACGCAGGATAATGGTAAAATAATCTTCTGGGAGTGTTATCTTATTTCTCTTGCATTTTTTTCAGATTCAAGAAATTAAATTGTTTGAAAAGTAAAAGTTTAGTTTTAATGATATATAAAGTCATCTTAATGTGAATATTTAAATGGCAGAATAGGGATGTCTAAAAATCCTTTTGAGCTAGACTGAAGTAGAGGTCTTCGTGTGTCAACATTATTTTGTGTTTGACTTTGGACAACCTTCCATTTCAGTCCACTCTCACAACGACTTCCTCCTGGCCATTCTCACTCGGTGTCAGATTTTGGTTTCTACACCAGGTAAGGAATGGAAATACTTGCAATGTGTGTCACCGTTGTGCAGAGACAAACTCTTACAGGACCATTTTAGAGCAGGTGACTTCAGAACTTAAAAGCAAAGTGGAAAGGGAGGAAGAAGGTGGGAGGGAAGAAAGAGAGGGTCGTTGGTGGTAGGGAAGTGAATTCCGTGGTGAGGAAACCCCAGTATATGTTGGAAATCTGAGCTTTGGTTTGCATTTTAAGTAGGGTCGATATAGGTTTGGCACAGAGTGGTAGGTGGGGAAGAGAAGCATAATGGGAGGTCGGCCAGACTCTTCTGCTACTGGGCCTAACTAGTTACAGATAGAAAGATTGATTCCTTCATTTTGGGGGGCTAAGGGGTACATTGAGTTACAATTTACCTCTTTAAGCCATCTTAGTTTTAATCAGGCAAAACCAAATAATTAGGTACATTAAAATTTTTCCTCATGGTAAAAGTTGTCCTGGACATTGTTAAATGCTTGGATTCAACCTTGATCAATATAGGTTTGTTTTTTTTTTTTTTTTTTTTTTTTTTTTTTTTTTTTGTTCTCACATGATTAGGGTAATTCTGATTATCTTTCACCAAAATCCCATGTTTTATCAAGAAATGGTAGGTAGGTATTTTGTATCCTCCCTCTGGTTATATCTAATTTCTATCATATAATAAAAATTCACATATGGTCTTCTAACCAAGGCATTTGTTCCCGCAGCAGCAGCCTGCGAGCTTTGGTTTGTGGACTTCCTTTGCGTAATCCCTCACATGTTTAGTCACTGTCTTGTCACCCAGCATCCACTTCCATTATTTGAAGTTGATCTCTTAGGAAATCGTTGAAGATTGGCTGACTTTACCAAGTGAGCTAGGCTGTGCTGTATTAAGCACCTCTGCCTCGTTGCCCTATGTTTTTTGAAGCTCCCTCCCTCAGTTCTTTTAGGCTGTTTAAATATGTTCTTTCAATCAGCCATTTTTATAGCATTGTCTTATTTTGTGAATACGTCTTCTCAAGCTTTTTTCAAGATACCAGTTAGAAGTTTGTCTTTTTGCATTCCTCTCTGGGATGGCTGTTTCTGTTCAGTTAACTTGGTTTTACTTATCGTGGGCCATGACTTGGACATGGTTTATCTGCTGTGGGCTAGGTTTGCAGTGGTGCAGTGGTGAGGTCTTGGAGATGTGGCGCCTGGCAGTAGGTCACTGGGTAAGCTGCCTTCACAGGGATTTAGGAAACACTTAGGAGACTCCTGAGCTCCTCAGAGAGCAAGTTGTTACAAAAGGGGGCCGAGGTTTGACCCCAAGTTGCTTTCTCCTTCCCATTTTGCTATGTCCTCTTTCCCTCTGCTGTGTGTGTGTGTGCGCGCGTGCGTGTGTGTGTGCATGTGTGTGCTCTCTGCCATTGTTCTCACTGGAGCTGAGCTGATGCAAGCACCATACCCTGGAATCTCCAGAACTGTAAGCTAACCAAGCCCCTTTTCTTCTAAAGTTAGCCTGTGACAAGTATTTGGTTGTCCTACAGGAGGACTACAGCATCACGTTACTGAATGTGTTCAAATATATGGTGATTTGTTATCCTTTTTCAATTTAAGAAAATACAGTAAAACTTTGTCCTTTCATGAGCTGACAGGGAAGCCTGGCATTAAGCTGGGGGTCTCTGAACACCAGCATGCAGGGAGCTTTGCTGCAGGGTCCCAGCATCCTTACCAGCTACCTTAGCAAGCCCCAGAAACTGAGTCCAGCATGGCTGGAGAAGTGTTGTACTTCCCTCGCCATCTTCCTAGCCCTACCCCACCCATGTCTGGTCCCCGCTGTCCTCCTGTGAATGTGGCCTCGGGGCTGTGGACTCTAGTTATGCAGAGGGCCCTGCACTTGGCTTGGTGATTTGCCATCACTGTCTTGAGCTTCTTTGTGACCCAGGGCTCTCTTATTTTTATTTTATACTGAGCCCAGGCCCTGGGATGAGGGGAGGTGTTCGTGTGGATGATTTTAACTGTGCGTCTGCCGTGAGTAATCATTTTCTGCCTTCTGGATTCCTCCTGGTTTCTGCTGTTCATGGTCTCCACATCCAGACTCCTGTGGTCTCAGCGTGGCTTTGCCCTCATGTGCCACCTTCTTGCTTTCTTGTGTCACTTTTGTAAGGAAGCCTTGTGTTAGGCCATCTGGGAAGTTACCGACCTCGCATCTTGTGTTTGTCTCTGCCGCAGATATGTTCCGTTTACCTTTTTCTGTCCTCATTTATGTGAGGGTCTTGAGAGAGAAGAAGTGTGTGTGGTCAGTTCACCATCTGGGCTAGAGGAATGGGTTCTGCTTTTATAATAACATGACTGAGAAGCAGAGCGCTCAACAAACATTAACTTAAAATGTAAAAAACAAATTTGCCTTTGGTTACAACTAGAACAGAATGTGATGAGAGAGGATTTATAATTTTGAGAAGGAGTATAAAGAGAAGACCTCAATCTGAGCACTCATGATTTATTGCCATGACTTGAACATGACATGCTTTTTAGTCCTAAGTGAAAACACTTAGTAGTTATCAATTGTCATTATTTCCACTTACAGTGACTGTTTTTCTCTTTTATAGAAGGCGCTGGATCTTTGCCCTGGACAGGGGGCTCTGCAGCCAAACCTGGAAAACCCAAGGGCAAGAAGAAGCTTTCTTCTGTTCGTCAGAAATTTGATGTAGGTTGTTTTTCCCAGTAGTTCTTGGTAACTTTTGGGTTCAGGGTAGTGTGATGAGCTGGGTTTATTTTTTGAATACTGGTAGTAGAGTTAGAAAAAAAGGGTGGAGTTAAAAGAGAAGCAATCTTGTGGGTTGAGAGAGTATTTAACGTTCTTGCTTGTTACTGGTTAAGTATTACGATGTCCTCATTGGCGCTTGCTTTTCTGTGATGCAGATCTGTGCCTGCTTTTCTGTTTCATTGTCCTCCTTGAGCGAGTAGTGTTTCCTGGGGTGAAGGCATCTTTCCAAGTGTTATGGTCGAGAGGCCTCTGTGAGGTGACACTGCCCCGCTGGGTCTGATCCTTTCAGGAACAGTGTTGGCCCGCTGGCCACAAAATTGGTGAACACCGTAGGATGACTTGAAGTTCTCAGTGTATATCTAGAGAAGATAGTTTCCAGAAGTGTCCCTTTCAAGGATAGGCTGGATATTGTTACCTTTATTGACTAACGCCAGCATTGACTTCTTTCTACTTTTACTCTGTTTTATATCAGTAATAATATTCAGCACTGATTCAGAAAGGCATCCCTGGTTTAAAAAGAATCCTTCGATGTAAAAGACAGTTTTATACTGAAAAAATTAAAAGTAATTTCAATAATGGTCTTTAAAAAGCCTGTTTATTGGTACATGTTTGCAGTACATAATAATCATATTCATCATGGGGAGTTTGTACATGTGTATAACACACCTTAGTTTTTTCCCCCTTCCTGGGGACAATATTATTTTTTGTATAATACAAACAAACCCAGACAAACTATCAGTATGATAAAAATTTCTTTTTCTTGTGGTACTGGGCACCAAACCCCAGGGTGCTGTACCACTGAGCTGCCTCTCAGCCTTTTTTTTAAATTTTGTGATCCAGTTTCTGTAAGTTAATTTGTGGCCTAAGTTACCTTGTAATGCTCCTGCCTCCGCCTTCACAGTAGGATTGTGGGTGTGTGCTACTGTCCCTGGCTTGTACAAAATTTTTTGTTGGGTTTAAGCCAGAGCTACCAGGAGTATATCTCCCAATGATAATGAGATGTGAGTGGGCTGTCAGTTTCCTGAGGAAAAGTTGGGACTTTAAGATTTTAGACAGTGTAACTGTGTCCTAGGTAGGTTCCATATTGAGAATTGTAAGTAGAAAATAACAGTATAGTTAACGCAGTGTTGTTGCAGCTTTATTTTGAGGTATTTGTTATTAGGCCTATCATATTGGCAAGGTAGGCTTTTTAAGTCTTAAGCATTATATGTTTTTATTTTTAGCACCTGCTTAAGCTTAAACTTCTCTAATTTTTTGGATATAGTGGTGTATCTGTTTTTACTATTTTCTTTCTTTCTTTTTTTTTTTTTTTTTTTTTTTTAGAAAAAGAAGAGGTACCCTTACTATATAGTTCAGGATACTCTTGAATTCATTGTGTAGTCCAGGCTGGCCTCGAACTCTTGTCATCTCTTGCCTCAGCCTCCTGAGTGCTGGGATTACAGGACTGTGCCACCATGCCCAGCTTCCATTTTGTGCATGGGCATTTATCATGTGATCACTTAAGTATTAATTGAATAAACTGTGAATACATACGTTATTCCCTAAACTTGTGATTTGTGTGTGTGTGTGTGTGTGTGTGTGTGTGAATGAGTTACCCTTTTACCTTTTAATATTTCTCCCCATGTTGTATAGTTCGGATGGCATTAGTTTACAGGATCAGTAACTTTTTTGTGTGTCTCAGCACTTTTTGCTGCAGTGCATGATCTGAAGTGTTTCTACTCACAGCATAGGTTCCAGCCTCAGAATCCCCTCTCCGGGGCTCAGCAGTTTGTGGCCAAGGATCCCCAAGACGATGACGACCTGAAGCTGTGCTCGCACACGATGATGCTCCCCACCCGAGGGCAGCTGGAGGGGAGGATGATCGTGACTGCCTACGAGCACGGGCTGGACAACGTGACCGAGGAGGCTGTGTCGGCTGTGGTCTACGCGGTGGAGGTTGGTGTGCTCTTGGCAGAAACGACTTTATAGATTGAATGGGACAGGTTTGTGTGTTGTGTAAAGTTGAGGTTGCCAGAAAAGAAACAAAACATCAGTCTGCGCTTACAGAGTTGTCGCCATGAGAAGTTGTTTTCTGTTGAGGGAGAAATACATAGCGTTCTGAAGCACTGCCTGCACTGAATAGACGAAGCCTGCAGAGAGGTTGCCAGGGGCTCGGTCCGGTGTTTGACTTGTCCGCAGGGCCACCTTTTTAAAGGAAAGAAATGAGGTTGGGAATCTTAGTGGCTCAAGTCACTTGTTTTGTTCAGTGACAGCACTTAACAGTCAGTTTAGCACCTGGACCGTGGGATTACTGGCCCAGCACACTGTCGCATTTACGCATTTATTTAGTCATTTCAAGGTGTACCTTTCACCTGCCTGACAATACTGGGCAATAGTAGGGGATTCTTTACAGTTCTGTGGCCTTGTTTTCCTCGTGTATATGTTGAAAACAGTAATTGCTATCTCTGGAAGTCATAAACATCAGATGAATTCTGTAAATATTTTTGGTTTTGTATTTTTTGAGACAGGGTTTTGTTCATTAGTCCTGGCTAGCTTTGAAACTCACATTATCGTCAGGGCTGACCTCAAACTCAGAGCGATCCTCCTGCCTCAGCCTCCCTTGTGTTGGGACTATAGGCATGTGCCATCACACCTGGCCTTGACATTCTTTTATGTTTATTTCCTGTATGTCTTATTTATGTGGCTTTGAGAGGGCAGAGGTTCTCTTCATGCAGGGATTTTGATAACCAGTAAATACCAGATCTGGAAACATTGTATCCCATTTGAAACTAAATTATC